TTTTTTTACCTTCTTCTCTGGACACTAATAAAATAATTCAAAACTATCAAATACCATAAATGGAAATATAAAATACAAATAAATATACATACAAAATACAACAACAATATATTTATTTACTGTTGTCAGCTGCTGGCAGGTGCCCTACGTCACCTAGCATTGACAGTGCAGCCTTAAAGCGTGTTAGTGCACGCATGTACGCACTCTGGCAACGGCATTTACCGAAACAATTCACGTCCGGAATAAAATACCAATGAAAGAGAGTGAGAAGACACTAAGCCTTTAGTACTGACAGTAAGTAGTAATAGTAGATTTCGTAGTTTTTTAGCATTATATCTTTATTGAAGAGAGCTCCAAGTGGCTCTGCCCCACACAGCCCCGCAGCAACGTCAGCCAACAAGGAAAAGTAAGGCCACAGGAGCAACAGCATCGACCCACCCCGAGGCGAGAGAGGCGGGAGGGCCCACAACACACCCAACGACACTCACGACGCGCATAGCGCGCACACACCTACGTCACACGCACACAGAACGCGCGACAGCGCAGCACGCGACGAACCAGAATGCACGCCTCACAGAACGCCCCACAACTCAACGGCTCACAAAGAGATAGATATGTATGCGTGCACGACACGTATATATATATATATATATATATGTGTGTGTGTTTGCCCTTCATAATTTTGAAAAACAAATCAACTTACCAGTTTATTAATCCTGCGGCACTTCCAGAGATCTCAGAATGAAAAGTAAGCACCCTATTCGTCAAATTCCACGCACATGGCCACCAACGTTTTCTGTTTAAATTATTCCTAATGGCACGGAAGCGAGTGAAGTTACCGATGTCACGAAAAGCTTATTCACACACTATATATATATATAGTGTGTGTGTGTGTGTGTGTGCATATGCTGGCATTCTTGTGAAAATACAGGCGAAGGCGTCATCTGTTTATGCAGCTCAACGTCGTAACAAACGGCCGTATTATGATTCAAAGCACTTCCAAACACTCCCGACTGTCAGACGATCGAATGGCCATCGAGTAACAATCGCAAACGTGCACGTCGCACGCGCGTGACAACGACTTGCGATGTTAATCAGTGAGGTGCTGCGTCCGTGTCCGCGTGTGTACACGCGCGGGATGTGCGTATGTGACAGAGACACACTACTGTACTACTATCTCCCGATCCGGCGTCGGGAAGGAAACCCACGAGCAGTCAGATTTTCAGCATGTGTTCGTAGAACGCTTGTGATCATTAGTCGCATTCACATCGCACGGCTGGGTCGCGTAAAACGCGAGGAAATTGCACCGCATTCATCCTTCTGAGGTCCAAACTGGTTTTGCGAGCACACCGACGCACGCATGCACGCGCGCGTACGGCCGGGGCAGTTCATAGTAGACGCGATTACTGCGACCGATAGCGCAGCGTATGACGATGATGATGTTGTCTATGTATCCTGTTCGTGAGAGCGTTTCACCGCAGCACTGGATCACGTGTAGACAACACGACCTGTCGCTGCTCGAAGTAAGTCCATAATCGTCAGACCATTACAGAACCACTGTTCCATGTCAACGGCACGAGATCTCTCTGTCTCTCTCTCTCTCTCTCTCTCGCGTGCGAGCGAGTTCGCTTGCTCTCACACTGCTCTCTCGCTCTCTCTCTATCTCGCTCTCTCTCGCTCTCTCTCTATCTCGCTCTCGCTCTCTCTCGCTCTCTCTCCCTCTCGCTTGCTTTCGCCCTTTCTCTCTCGCTGTCTCTCTTTCTCTCTCTCTCTCTCTCTATTTCTCTTTCGCGCGCTCACTGTCTCGCACACGCTCGCTTCGTATCTATCTTTCTCTCACCGTCGACACAGTAAAGTACTCCTCGGGAATCTCCGATTATTCCTTATTCCAAAATCCACGCGTGATGCATTGCGAAATCATGGGAGCCCCCACACGAACTCCGGAAAATCGCTATAATGTTTGGCTCGCGAAACCCCCAATCAATCTTTGCCGACTGTGCCACCACCAAACACACGAAAACGGTCGCGGCGCAGCAAAATTTCGCCGAGAAAATCGTGCCGTGTTTCGCGCCGAGCGACCGACGGCCGATCAATGAACGCTCCCGCTCGCGCGCGCTCGCTTTGCCTCTCTCTCGCTCTCGCTGTCGCCCTCGCTCTCGTTCTCGCTCGCCGCGCTGCGCCGATGCATCTGTGCGGGTCTGCCGGGTGCTAGCGGTTTAAAATACGCCGCCGTAGCCGCATCTCGGCTCTAATTGACTGGGGCAGCGGTCAATGAAGCGTGCGCTCGCTGCTTTCTCATACACACCACCTGTCGACGGTTATACCCCCACCACCCCCACTACCCCCCCCCAACAAACAGCGACACGAGCGGTGCGTATAACCGTCGGCGACAGCGTTCTCTTCACTGTTTGTGAATTCGGAAACTCTGAGCGCAGACAGAGGATGGCACCACACACCCACCACCTACGTTGTGCGAGTAATGGCCACGGCTTTCCAGTTCAATACTGCGCAGTATAGCTCGTGTCTACAGCGTCGGAGAATCAATAACGTTAAAAAGCCGGCACGTAACTCCACGTGAGATGAAACAGGCGCACGTTTCGGGCACACACACTCACACACTCACACGCACACACACACACACACACGCACGCATACACACACACATACACACACACACACACACACACACACACACACACACACACACACACACACACACACACACACACACACACACACACACACACACACACACACACACACACACACACACACACAC